AATGTGTCACACTTAAGGGAATTCTTCACAGTAATTGTCCTGTAATCTTTAAAATGTTGAATTCATGAAAGAAAAAGATGGAGAAACAGATGACACAAGACTAAGGTGACATGATAAGTAAATATTATTTGTAATCCTGAATTGTATCCTGAAAAGAGAATAAATTAAAATTTTTTTCTTATAAAGTATATTATTTGAACAATTGATGAAATTTGAATCTCTTATATTAATTAATGTTAATACCTAATTTTGATAATTATGTTGTATTTACATAAGAGAATACTTTTATCTTTTAAGAAACACACTGAAGTGTTTAGGAATAAAGGTACATCATGTCATAAATTTTTTTGAAATCAGATCTCTTCTAGTTGTGAAATACAGTGTTGTCTGGATTCTTTTTTATGGATAGAAGTCACATGGCAATTCACTAGTTGTCTGGCAGAGTGCCCATGGGTTTCTTTGAAACTCCTGGATTCTCTCATTCAGTAATTACCATTGAGCGCCAATATATCAAGCACAGTACTAGGTACAGGATGAGACAGTGGAAATACAAAGAACTTAGGGAATTGGCAGCTTACTGAGAGATAGAGAAAAAAAGATAATGATAAAGTAAATATAATACATATTAACATTTGAGGAAGGCTTGGTGAAAGGTATGGGATTTTTAAAAACTCTTTTTGCAACTTTTCAGGATCTATGAATTTATTTCAAATAGAAAAATAAAAATGTCTAATGCAAAAACTATTAGGAAGGGAAAAATGAAAGAAGGTGATTGTAATGTACTAGAGTTTTATGAACAACTTAAAAAAGTTGTACCTATATTTGGTTACATGAAAAATCTTAGCAAATTCCAAAAAGCATAACAAGTAGGCTGCACTCATGGCTCAAAATGCATTAAAATTAACAAGCAAAATAGAATCTTTAAATTTAAAAATCAAAATGTTTAGTTACTCTCCATTAACTCTCTTTAAATAATAACTGAATCAAAGAAGTCTAACTACATTTGCAATCTGTTTAGAAAACAATAGTGAATAAAATCTACGGGATTTGACCTAAAGTATTGGGAAGGGAAAATCCACAGCCTTAAAAAAAAAAAAGGTATTAATCAAGAAAGAATAACAATAAACACATCATATACTGTTCTGGAAATTAGAGCCAAAACATTAAAAATACTCAAAGCTCAGGAGAAACAACTGCTTTCTCTCTGTTCTCCCACAGTGGTCAGACAAGCCATCATGTGCATATAGAGCATTTTCTTTTCTTTTTTTTTTTAGAGAGAGAATTTTTTTAATATTTATTTTTCAGTTTTCAGCGGACGCAACATCTTTTGTGTGTATGTGGTGTTGAGGATCGAACCTGAGCCGCACGCATGCCAGGTGGGGGTGCTACCGATTGAGCCACATCCCCAGCCTATATAGAGCATTTTCAGTGTGACCATAACAGGTGCTGAATCCAAGAGGCCAAGAGAATTCTTCCTTCTTGAGACTTACTGGGATGTATATGTGTGTAGAGGGCAAGAAGGGTTATCAGATATTAAATGATAAATTCAAAAAGTACTAGTCAGTGTTTCTAATGTACTATCACTTAATAGTACCTTTTATTCTAATTGTTTCCCTGTTGCCTTTCTCTGCCTCTCCCTTTCTGTCTCTCCTTGTTTTTTGTGTTTGTTTCTTCTCTCCTCCCATATTGCTGCTTCTCTCCATCTTTCCCAATTCTCTGAGGATACTATATTTCCATTACTTTTGCCCATCCTGAGCCTTTATGCTTGATGTTGTGTCATTCAGTGGTGGCTACTGAATGATTTTAAAGACTCTTCTAAGCTATTACTAACTAGACATCTGACAACAGAGAACCTATAGACTGTTGTTTAGCTTATATTTTTATAAAAATGTGAATTTATGAACTCTGAGAATGCAAAATAATTACAGAATATAGACAAGCTAATAGATGATTTAAGTAGTGTGAAGTTAATTGAAATTTTAAGGATTTTATATAAGGGGAACTCATATCTAACTCACCTTTAGAAGGCTTGAGCGAGATTTTTTTTTTTTTTCTTTTTTCTTTTTTGCAATGCTAGGGATTGAACCCAGGTCCTCATGTATGCTAGGGAAGTGCTCTACCACTCAGCTATACTCCCAGTTCTTAAGATATTTTAATATGGGTACTGGAGGAAATCAGTGGGTCTAAAATGCTTTGATTTTTCTCAGGCTTTTGCTAAAGGTTCATTTAAAGCCTTGAGGTGGGAATGTAATTGGAATGTCAGAGGAGGAGCTGGAATGGTATAAGAGGAATAGTGGTAAGAAGAGAGGTGAAAGTAATGGGTAAGGATTAGATGAGGTAGGCTGGTAGGCCATGGTAAGTACTTGATATTTGTATTGCCCTTGGAAGATTTTGGGGATCTCATCTGATTTACTGCTGTAAAGGATCTGGCTCTTGTGAGGGAGATGGACGACAATGAAACAAAATTGAAAGCATCTCAATCAAGTAGAAAACTCTTGGAATAGACAATGGTGGCTTGGACTACTAGTAGCACTAATAGTGATGTGAAGTGTTTAATCCAGACTTAATGAAGGTAGAGGCTACAGACTTCACTGACATTGGCTGTGTGGTATCAGAAAAGAGGGTATTCAAGGATGATTTAAAAGTTTTCAGCCTGAGTGACTAAATAAATCCCATTAATACTGGCTTCCCTGGCTAGTCTTTGGGAATTGGGTTGCTTCCTGGAGGTTATTTTGAGAGGCAGGAAGGTTAATTAAGCAGCTACTGCAATCATCCTAAAATGTTGAAAGGAGCCTGAACCTGGGAAGAGGCTATCAGTACTATCAGAGGTATTCAGAGGACTACTTAGGAGAATAGGTTAGAGTTACTTACTAAAACTGAAGATAGCGGAATCTTCTTTTTCCCAGTCAATTCACTTTTTGGTGTAGACCCTAGACTAGGGGTTGTTTGAGCCTGCTTTTGTATAGCCCTAGAGCTAAGCTAAGAAAGTTTCTTGCATTTGAAAAAGGTTTATAAAGGGGTGTGGATCAGGATATGAAACAAAGACCACACCACACGTGTCTCTCAAAACCTAAAATATTTACTCTCTGGTCCTTTACAGCAAAGTTTGCCAACCTCTAGAGCAGCAGTAGCAACATCACCTGAGAACTTGTGAGAAATGCAAATTACCAGGTTTTAGCACAGACCTGCTGAATCAGAAACTCTGAGAGGCATGTTTTAACAAACACTCCAGGTGATTCTGATGCACTATAAGGTCTGAGAACCACTGTACCAGAGTACATGGTGAATATTTATAACAGCATTACACATGAGTACCAAACTTGAAACAATTAAAATGCTAGTCAGCAGTAGAGAAGATAAGTAAATATGGTAATTAATACAGTAGAAATGTTATATGTAGCTTATGGTTAAGAACATGGACTATGAAGGTTGATTGCTTGTGTTTGAAATAGTAGCTGTGTGTCTTTGGGTAAGTTACTTGACACCCCGAGCCTCAATTTCCTTATCTGTTAAGTGGGCATAAAAATAGTAATTAGAACTATGCTTTTTATTTAAAAGGTAATCTGCATGTAATGTATTATGCTTTAAGGAATATCTCAATAACCTCCATGAAGCAACCCAATTCCCAAAGACTAGGCAGGGAAGCCAGTATAAATGGGATTCATTTAGTTACTCAGGCTGAAAACTTTTAAATCATCCTTGAATACCCTCTTTTCTGATACCACACAGCCAATGTCAGTGAAGTCTGTAGCCTCTACCTTCATTAAGTCTGGATTAAACACTTCACATCACTATTAGTGCTACTAGTAGTCCAAGCCACCATTGTCTATTCCAAGAGTTTTCTACTTGATTGAGATGCTAATAAAAGTGATGGTTTGCCCATATATTTTGCACACAACAAAAATATTAAGTAATATAAGATAAAGCCATTGTAGATTTTGGAGGCCCCAAAGTTGGTATTGCTTTTGTGCACCTGTTTTTACATTTGTAAATTAAGTTAAAATCATCCTTTTAGGATTGTTAAGAAAAACTGATGAAATGTGTATGTTTGCATCATGTTTGGTACGTAGGCATTAATGTTATTTCTTTCTTAATCGCCCTTTTTACTTCTCTGCATTCCAAAATTCTTCCGCTGTCCCGAGGTTCTCTGAAAATAAGTTTCCAGAAAGGGATAAAGTGGCATCTTTAAAGATTTGGTTATTTCCAGTAATCAAAACCAGGAGTCATTGTCCATCGTTAAGTCCTGGGGGCAAGTCTGGTCCTAGAGGTGGGACAAGACTGTAATCTTAATATTTCCTGGGATTTCAAACCTTTTAGCCTTAATACCATAAAATGCTTAATATGTACTTAGCTATGCATAAATACATAATGGACAAAGAAACAGTCTTTTTCTTTCTGTAGAGACCATGTCACATTTTTCCAGTACCCCAGGGCCTAGCACTTAGTAGGCTTGCAACTTAAATTGTTTTGAACTATTAGGATATGACCTTCTATTTCCTAGAATGTATTAATAAATGAGTTTTGTGTATAAACAGCTGAAACCACAGGCTCGACTTAAAGCTCCTCTAGAGCAGCAAACTGAAAACACCTAATTCAGAGAGATTACTAAATTCCCTCCGTATTAACATTACTAAAGGGACCAGGAATATAAATCTGCAAGACATAGCGCCGCAGGGAACCAGCTGTTGTTCGCGCCATCTGGAAGAAGGGCCGAGAGGCTGGAGCCCCAACGCAGGAGAAAGCGGCCTTCTTGTGACGTCAAATCAGCGGACTCTCGCCCCGGCTTTAGGCCGGTTCCGGTTCCCCGGCTTTCCGGGCGCCAGGGTACGCGAGCGCGGCGGCCTACTGCGCCTGCTCCGCAGAGGGACGCGAGAAGGTTGGGTCCGGCTCGCCAAGGAGATGCGTGATTGGCTGACGCTGTGCTGGGGGGTTCCCTGGCCCTTTCGGCAGGGGTAAAACAATAAGAGGGGGCGGTGGCAAAGGGGGCGGGACGTCCGTGTTCCTTGTCGTTCGCCGCAGCGTCTGGTGCCCGGGAAGAGGTGGTTGTGAGGGAAGCGATCTCGCGGTTCTCCGGCTTCCGAGGCTTCTGGTTTGTCGCGGGGAGGAGGCAGCGAGCGAGAAGAATCCGCTGCAGCCGATCCTCGGCTACTCTCCTGCTCACCTCCGCGCGACGTACCCGCCGCCGCTGTTGGTTGGAGGTGTGTACGGGGGCCGGGAGGGGAGGTCGGTGTGGTGGTCGGAAGGGGACATTTCCTTCGCGCTCCGCGGCTCGCGGCAACCGTCCAGTGTGTAAGCTCTGGTGTCCGAGGTGTTGCGGCAGAGAGAGACATTGTTCTTACCGGCTGCCTACGCTGCGGTGTGTGCGTGAGAGAACCCAAGCCTTTCCTCAAAAGGTGAGGAATGGGAGGCCTTGTAGGAAGGAAGGTGACCAGTGCGCGTGGTGCGGACGGAGGTCTCCGAGGGCACAGGTGGGGCTAGGATTTGGTGTAGGGATGAGATGGCGAGGTGGTCAGAGGGACTCAGCAACTCCCGAAGGAGCGATGAAAGCTTAATGCGGGAAACGGGGGAGTGGGCTTTCTAGAGATGATGTTGTGAGTTGGGGAGGCCACCAGCCTTGTCTCCGAGTCATTTGCACCTCTTATTCCTGGTTGCTTCGGAGTGGGGACGCTGTCGCCGCCCCGCCCGTGGGGGAGGGGAAAAGAGGTTGTGTCGGCGGAGGCAGAAGCGACGCAGATGCGAAAGTAGCGGCCTCCGGGCACCATTTCTGTGCAAGGAAACAGAATCCCGGTTTGAAGGCAGCCGCCGCTTCGCTTGCCCGGAGCTTAGTGTTCCGGCGTCTATGACACCCCCGCTCCCTTCGGGTTTATTCCGAACGCGTTCGGATACTAGGGTCTTAACGCGTGCCTTCTTCGTCCCCTTGTTATGCAGAGGATCCTCTGTTGACCCAGGAGTAGAAATTTGGGTGTTTTTGGGAATGGGTTTCTCTCCTTCCACTCCCCCCCCCCCCCCCCGTGGAGCAAGGGGGACGGAGGGGAAGTTAAGCTTCCCTAGATTGTGAATTTTGTTAGTGGAATCAGATCGAATTTTTCCTGCGTCCCTAAAAGCACATTTCTTAAGATGGCCCTATGCTGCTTTGGGGCAAATATAGATTCGCGCCTACAATTTTCCGCATAGATCGATTTTCCTCCAAGATGTAACTAGATTTTTAACGGAATTTTGGCAAGGTGCTTTTGCACGTGCACTTAAGCTGTAATAGGAAAGTTGTCCCATTATTTCCCGAAATGTGATTAACTTGGGTTAAAATACTGGTTTTAGGTTAAAGGCACAATACCTCATTCTGGTCTTTCAAATAGAATTGCAAGTACCTGATCTAGGAACCATTAACAGCAATTAAGGGAACACAGTCTACTAGAATGGGAGATGATGGTAAATCCTTGTCCATCTCCATATTTGGCAGTTAATATAGTCTTAGGCTTGTGAACAAAGTTTCTAAGTAAACATTTGGACTTGCCAAATCCAGTGTACCTTTTGATATCCAAAACTCTTGATCTTAAGGAGGTTTGATCAGTTGGAACTTTAGGATTGAATTATGTGTTGTCTTGGCAATATTACCATACGTTTTCTTAAATTTTTAGTATTAGTCATTTGTGTTCTTTTGTTAATGACTTAAACTCAACAAGTTATTTAATTCTGAAAAATTGTCAAGGATTTGTAGGGACAGTGAATACCTCAGATGGATTGCTTACTGTCTCAGACTTGCAATGTTTTAAGTTGTTGAATATTCGGGGTTGAAATGTGAATGGTGGAGAGCAAACATCAAGAAAAGCACTAGGAATGGAGTGAACCAGAATGCTTGTGGAGTGGATAGGGATCAGAACTAGCAGATAAGGAAGAAGAAAAGTCATTGAATAGTCAACTAGACATTAATTTAAGTGTTTACTTAGAACCTGAAGAGTTGAATTGTCAGTAGGCAACTTCTGGTTTAAGGAAATTGTTGGTTTGTTGGTAGCAGGAAACATTTGTAATACATATTTGATTTATGAGAGATTAAAAATCAAAATTTCAGAATCAGTTAACTGGAAATTTATAAATACAAATAGTGGTTTTAGATTCTAAACAGCTTATTTATCTTGCAGAATTCTATTTTCTAAATTGATTTAAAAAGACTTTTTTACATATTTTATGCTGAATGGCTATGAAAACAGTGACCCCTTTTTTGAAAGGTACAAATTTGAGGATTACTTCTGAACTTAAATTTTTGAGTAGAAACCCTTTTTTTTTTTGAGGGGGGATGGTACTGGGGATTGAATTCAGGGGCACTCAACCACTGAGCCATATCCCTAGCTCTATTTTGTATTTTTATTTAGAGACAGGGTCTCATTGAGTTGCTTGGTGTCTCACTGTTGGTGAGGCTGACTTTGAACTTGTGATCCTCCTGCCTCAGCCTCCCGAGCTGCTGGGAATACAGGTATGTGCCACTGTGCTGGGATAGAAGCCTATTCTCATACCGTAGTAGGTATGTTTGGAATGACTTTTATACTTCCTATTCCATTATTGTCCTATTCCTTTGATTTTTACTCCTCCTAACCAGTTCCAAATAATCTTGAGAGTTGGCTTTTTAAAATTAATTTTTTTTGTGTTCTTGGTCCTTTGGCTGTTCTTTCAAACCAGATGTTCTTAATTAGGTGTCATCAAAACATCACTAGAGGCAGGAGACCCTATTTCACATCCTTTTTATTGTATCTATAACTAAGGTACCTACCTATTTCAAAGAAATAAAGGAACATACAGGTTACTTGTTAAATTTTAATGCATAATATAAACACATTGCTTTTATTTTGCAAACATTTCCATTTCTTGATGTTTAGCTACTTCAGTAGCTTCTGAATATCAAAATTTACTCCCTCACCTTTGGAGCCTAAAAGAGGGTGAATCCATAACTTCCCTTTGTTATTTATTTTTATTACTATAATTTTTAGCCCTTTCGTGTTCTGCCACAACAAATTGGAGGTCACTGCTTTAAAAAGGTATAGTACTTTGATTGTTAAGGTCACTTTTAACAAAGACCATTAGGAATTTTAGAAAGTTGCAGTATTAATATGGGACAGACAGTTGAAAAATAGGTATGTATAGTCCTTGACTCAGTGAGAATAGGCATTGACCTGATCTCTGTGAGCCCAGATAGTCAGACTCCAGGGAAAATTGGAGTAAGCATCCTATAGTGGAGGTAAGTGGGTCCTGCCACTGGTATATCCTTAGAAAACACAATTTCTGGTAAAGAGAAATGCAACCTGTTATTAGAAATATTCTTTCTATAAGAAGCAATATGTAATACATGCAATCTTTCAGGGCTGAAAGCTTATATTTCTAGTTTTTTCTTTTATATATGTCATTTCATTTGGATTATTAGACTTAAAAAAAAAAAAAAAAAAGGAAATGTGATATGTGGTTTCTTCTTAGCAGTCTTTGTTTTGAAATAGCCACCAAAGAATGACTTGAACTTTTCATGCAGGTAATTTGTAGTGAGTGAATTTTTGATTGTTTTGATGCTTATAAAGGTTGAATGTGCCTTATCTGAAATGCTTGGGACCAGAAGTACTCAGATTTCGGGGTATTGAGAGTTTGGAGTATTTGCATAGTTTTCACCAGTTGAACACCTCTAATTCAAAAGCTGGAATGCTCTGAAATCTGAAACTTTAAAAGTTGTGGCCAGGTATTTGAAGATAACAGTTAAAATTAGATTTCCTGAAGATGTAGCCATTTTATACTGTATTGTTGTGGAGAAATCCTTTAATAAAAACATGGAGAGAAGCTGTTTCAGAGGTCCTGGTAACTAATAAGAATTGACAGAATACAGATTTATTTTTCTTAGATTATGTTGCCTTTCTGTTATAATCTGTTCTGATGGTTATTTTGCTATCTTTAGTGAATTTAAATTAATTTTCATTCTTTTGCCCACATTGCTTTTACATGATTGAAATCCTAACCTTGGTTGTAAATATTTCTTTTTTTTCAATGTTTTTGTGTTATGGTTCTGTAGTCTTTGACATGTGAACCATTATACTGGTGTTTCCACAGTTTATCATTTAGAAGCATTAAAGTGAAGAGTGCTTTTAGGATCTAGGAGTAAATTTTCCTTTTATTTTTCTATATAACTGATCATTTTAAATTCTGGTATGGTGTTTTTAGTATGTTCCACCATTTCCATTTCCTAAATTTAATTTTCAATTAGTAGCATTGTAAATACACTCAGACTTAGCATTAAATAATATTTTGTCAGATATATTGTCACTAATGTTGGCATAATGGTAATGAATACTTGTTAATTTTACTGTAGTGCTAAATGAATTTTCACACTTCTTTTTTTCTGCCATGTTAGCAATGAGACCTTAAGGTCTCATGCATAAAGTCCTCTGCCCCAGGGGTGGGGGTGGGGTGGGGGGTGGGGGAACTGAGGTTGTGGCTCAGTGGTAGGGCACTTGCCTTGCACATGTGAGGCACTGGGTTCAATCCTCAGCACCACATAAAATAAATAAATAAGTTAAAAAAAATGAGGTAGATTTGGAAAATAAGAACTAATGTGTTAAAAAAAAAAAAAAAAAAGAAGAAGTGCTCTGCCCCAGCCTGGGTTTTCACACTTTTGTTTTTACATTTTTATCCTAGGAAAATATTTCGAACTAGTAACATGCATATGTTAGCTGGTTATTAGGAGTGGAATGAGAATTTAGAGATATGATTTTAAAACTTACAAATTTAACATTATGCTTTTTGTAGCAGACAGCAATATATGTAGACTTCCCTCCCCACGCCTTTAACTCAGTTGTTTCCATACCATACATTTTTCAAAAGACAAGATATTCATATCATTGTTCTACAATTTATGATTATTAAGTTTTGTGGACATTGTTTTCTACAGTTACAATTCTTTTCTTTTTGGGGCAGTACTAGGGATAGAATGCTTTGTGCATGTAATGCAAGCATTCTATCAGTGAGCTACATCCCTGGCCCTCTTTATTTTATTTTGAGACAGGGTCTGGCTAAGTTGCCCAGGCTTGCCTCAGCCTTGTTTCAGCCTTGTAATCCTCCTGCTCAGCTAGCTTTCCTGATTGGTTGGGATGACAGATGTGTGCCACCATGCCCGTTTTTATATTTTTAATGAATACATAATACCATAATCAATTTGAATTAAACTGTCAAA